TGAAAAGTAAAAAAAATTTGTGCATATTTTCAAAAGCATATTCACGATCTGTGCGAACTTGGTTCTCATTTCGGTGAGATACGTAGGCAGCCCTTCTTGGATTCGGTGTTATTTGTTCCAAAAGTAAAAAACAAATAAAGTAGTTTGTGCATATTTTACAAAGTCATATCTGCACGAACTACGCGAACCCGATTCTCATTTTAATGAGATACGTAGGCAACTCTTCTTGGGTTCAGTATTATTTTTTACAAAAATAATAAATAAAATAAAAATTTGTGCATATTTTCAAAGTCATATCTATATGAACTACGCGAACCTGATCTCTATGATATACATAGGCAACCCTTCTTGGATTTGGTTTTTTTTTTTAAGTAAAAAATAAAATAAAATAGTTTGTATATATTTTCAAAGCCTTATCTGCACGAACTAGGCATACCTGATTCTCATTTTAATGAGATATGTAGGTAACCCTTCTTGGGTTCGGTATCCATTTTCTCAAAAGTAAAAAAAATAGTTTGTGCATATTTTCAAAGGCATATATTAACGAACTACGTGGACCTGATTCTCATTTCGGTAAGATATGTAGGCAGCCTTTCTTGGATTCGCTATTATTTTTTCCAAAAGTAAAAAAAATAAAATAAAATAGTTTGTGCATATTTTAAAAGTCATATCTGCATAAACTACGATCACCTGATTCTCATCTCAATGAGAAACGTAGGTAGCCCTTCTTGGGTTCGGTATTCATTCTTTTAAAACAAAAAAATTGTGTATATAATAGAATAGTCATGTCTTCGACTTAGTTTAGACCAATACAGTTAGGATCATGTAAAAATAATCGATATGATGGAAATGATTGAATTTTCGATAAACCATAGATTGTTTTAGTACCTCTCTTTTGTACTTTTGTAATGCTTGAAAGTTATCTTGCGGACATTCAACATAAGAATAAAATCAACCTCATGATTTCATGTGCATGGTATGGAGATCTTTTAGATCAAAATTCAATTGCATCGCACTGTTGATCTAGAACTTGGCCCGAATATTTTTTGAGGCGAAATCTTGAGTAATGTTTGGTTAGGGAAGGGATTGAAGGCCTTTTTGACACCATTATGCCTTTCAAAGCCAACCAAATGACATCAATCTCTAGTTTTTCCACTTTTGAGCCTCAAACCTTTTTTTTTAACAATCACATTTGAGTCATTACCCTTTTGAGTGCTTATATGCACTATCCCTCTCTTGGCCCAAACTTGTTGAGTGCACCAAGAATGTGCAAATTATAGGAGAAGATCCATGTTTGAAATTTCCAAAAGCAAAGATATCAAGTAGCCCAAAGAAAAAGAAGCAAAAAGAAAAAGGAAGAAGACTTGTAGAGAAAGAAAAAAAAAGTTGAAAGAAATAAAGAAAGACAAAAATACTCCTACAAGGTCAGTGAAAAATAAGAAAAAATACTCCAACAACAGAGGAGAAAAAATCAAAGGAAATGAGTGAAAAAAAAGATCCAAGAAATGAGAACTTAAAATAAGTCTAATGAAAGGGGTAAAATAAAATAAAAACTTCAAGATATAAAGACTCAAAAGAAGTCAAAGAGGGAGGACAATGTAAGAAGATCTCACGCCAAAGACGTATCAATCATTAAGGGCACAAATTCAGTGTGACGCTCAAGGAGGAATTAAGTCACTTTATCCCAAATAAATATCTTACCCATCCCTAAGCCTAGGTTACAAGCCAATTACAAGCTCTACATTATCTCATTCCAAATGTTCTCACATTAGTGGAGATTTACATAAAGCCAAACATATGGTATCACAGTTGTATGCACTGAACATTCTTGTGAGTGTGAGTGCAGTTTGAAAAAAAATGTCCTAAAATCAAATGTTTCAAACATGTGTGAAATAGGACCGGACTTTGTCGTGAGGGCACTTGAAACATGAGAATTGGTACAATTCAATACCTGTGTTTGAAGTAAGATGAACGAATCTAATTGATCCTTAAGTATGTTTGAGATACCACTTGAAGCAGTAGGAATTACCTTGAATTCAATTTTAATTCAAAAAAAAAAGAGGATGATGAGATTTAACTGCAATTCTAACTATTGGTACCAATTGTAGTAAAGATTTTGATTGTCTTATCACATTCTTTATTTCTCGAAAGAAAAGAAAAGAAAAACTAAGCAAGCACCTACCTTTTAATATTTTAAAACCTTTTTTTAGAGTATTTCCATTAAAATAAATAAATAAATAAATAAAAATTGGCTTTTTGAGTTGTTTATTGTAAAAAGTATCATTAGGTTAATCTTGTATGTGCGAGAGTCCTATTTTACTTCATGGGGTGGTCCGTCCCAAATATATGACATGTCTTTTATCTATAGGCTTTGAATATCACATGGAATATTATTTACTATTTTATCATGTTCGTATTGCATTTTCTACTGATGATCTTGTCTCAAATTCTTTGCAGTATTCATCATCTACAAGGTTGGAACTACATTTGACCTGATTCCTAGCTCAACGAGATATGTAGGCGTCACGATGGCTCGGTCATATAACTAGTGTGATTTTTCTTTTTCCTTGTAACTAACTCTGGGAAAGAACTTCTAAGAATATCTCAAAAATTAAGAATGAAGGTGATATCTCTAGCAAGTCAAGATTAGAGATCATTTTGAAATTTGTCAAAAGTTCTAATAAAGACAGAATTTTTGAGGAAGACCTCAAAAATACCAATAAATACTCAGAGAAATTTGATAGTCAACTTCAAATGATTCTTCAGCATTTGAAGCTCAAAGTCAACTTGCAAATCTCCAGCATTGTCATGGAAATCCAGCAGCTTCTCGTAAAAATCCTTAATAAAACATGAGTCACAATAAACATAAAAGTGTCGAGATTAAAATATTGATTGCTCACATGTGTTAAAATGACCATGCTTTTTACACATTCTCTTTTAAAAATATTTTCTCAAGGTTGCTTGACTAAGTCGCTAGCTTAAGAGACATTGTTTCTACTAATTGTTTCTTTTCAAGTACAGGAACAGGTGAAAGCATTGGGGAGATGAAACTTTCAAGACAATCCCCGAGTCATCCACCTCGTTACAGTTGGACAATCCTCGAGCCATCCATCTCGTTACAGTTGAAGATCCCTAAGCCATCCACCTCGTTACAGTTGGACAGTCCCCGAGTCATCCACCTCGTTATAGTTAGACAATTTCCGAGTCATCCACCTTGTCACAGTTGAACAATCATCGACTCATCTACCTCGTTACAGTGGACCATCCCCGCGCCATCCACCTCATTACGGTTGGACAATCATCGAGACATCCACCTCACTACAGTTGGATAATCATTGAGCCATCCACCTCATTACAGTGGACAATCCCTGAGCCATCCACCACGTTAGAGTTGCACAATCATTGAGTCATCCACCTCGATACAATGAACAATATCTGAGCCATCCACCTCGTTACAGTTAGACAATCATCGAGTCATCCACCTCATCAAAGTGGACAATCCCCGAGCCATCCACCTCGTTACAGTTGGAAAATCATCGAGTCATCCACCTCATTACAGTGGACAATCCCCGAGTCATCCACCTCGTTACAGTTGAACAATCATCGAGCCGTCTACCTTGTAATAGTGGAAAATCATAGGGTCATCCATCGATTGCATTTGCATTGCATTTTTTATTTGCCAAGAAGGCCATTGCATTTTTCATTTTCACAAAGAATAATTGCTTTTTTCATTTGTCAAGAGGGAGATTGCATTTTTTTTTTGCCAAGAGGGCCATTACATTTTTTATTTACCAAGAAGGCCATTGAATTTAAGACGCATCTATTCGGTGGTTAAGAATGTGCACCATATCTTTTAAATGTTCAAGTCGGTAAAACATCCGTGAAAAGATATTTGCATTTAAGTCGCATCTATTCGGTGGTGAAGGATGTGCACCATATCTTTACAACGTTCAAGTCGGTGGAAACTTGAGTTGGAAGATATTTTCATTTAAGTCGCATCTATTTGATGGAAAAGGATGTGCACCATATCTTTTCAATGTTTAAGTCGGTGGAAACTTCCATTGAAAGATATTTGCATTTGAGTCGCGTCTATAAGGTGATGAAGGATGTGCACCATATCTTTTCAACGTTCAAGTCGGTGAAAAATTGCGTTGAATGATATTTACATTCAAGTCGCATATATTCTATGGTGAAGGATGTTCACCAAATCGCTTCAACGTTCAAGTAGGTAGAAAACTGCGTTAAAATATATTCGCATTAAATTCGCATCTATTCGGAGGTGAAGGATGTGCGCCTGTTTCTTCCATGTTCAAGTCAGAGGATACTTGCGGTGAAAGAATTTTTATTTGTCCTACCAATGAACATACATTCAAAATCCTACGAATGGATCATCTTTTTTCATTTGTCCTACCGATGGACATACATTCAAAATCCTACTGATGGATCATCCTTTTCATTCGTTCTACCGATGGACTTACATTCAAAATCCAACTGACGGATCATCTTTTTTCATTCGTCCTACCGATGGATATACGATCATACCCTTCCAAATCATTTTACATAAGGATCATGTCTTCGGACAAATCGGGTTTGTCAATTTTTGTTGTCCACAATTTCTTTCATCAATCAAATCCAATGAAAGGGACAGCTGTTGACACCCAATTTTTGCCTAACATTTTTAAAATTCATAATTTTTAAGTTTTATTTATTTAATAGGAAAAATGCACAAGTATTCCCTCAACCTATGCCCGAAATCTTAGAGACACACTTGTACTACACTAAGGTTCTATTACCCCCTGAACTTATTTGATAAGTAATTTTCTACCCCTTTTCGGCCTATGTGGCACTAGTTTGGAAAAAAAAGTCAACCAGCGTTGGACCCACAAAATAGTGCCACGTAGGCCAAAAAGGGGTAGAAAATTATTAATAAAATAAGTTTAGGGGGGTAATAAGACCATAGTATAGTATAAGTATGTCTAAGATTTCGGGCATAGGTTGAGGGGTACTTGTACATTATCCCTATTTAATAGTTTAAAATGATTTTTATATATAAATTGAATTAAGTTTATTGATAACTATCCTTATGATCATCGAAGCTCCGACAACGATGAAAACTCCAACCCACCACTAACAAACAACTCTCCCTTTACTCTCTCTATTGGTCTCCATTTTCATTTTCTCCGACCAAACAACCACCAACAACCCCTCTTTCTTTTTCTCATTTTTTTGGACCAAAACAACCACCAAAACCCAACTGCTCTTCTCTAAAACAGCAGCCAGTCTGCCACCACCAAACACCCTGACACACGACACTCAAAACTACCCAAACGACCTCCTCATAACCAGACCCAAAAAACCCTTTGTTTTTCTCCTTTTTCCGGTGAAAAAGTCACCGGAAAGACTCCACAACGCCACCATTGGCCAGCCACCAGACCCCTCTCTTCTCCAACCAGAAACAAGAGTCAAACCACCACCAGAGCTTCGCCAGAAACCATCTCTAGCATCCTCCCTTCACACGCTCAACGAACCATAACTCATCACTACACCATGGAATCCATGACAAGATCCAACGAGCACAACAACGAATGGAGCAAAACAAACTCCAGTCATTATTTCAATGGCATCCAGGAAGAAACAACAACAACCAGTGAGGTAGAGACCACCTTGGGTGCTTTTAGATCTGCTCGGATTTTCAATTTTACAGGCGATGACTCAATTTTGTAGGTAAATTTTATCCTCACCATGAGTTTATTGATATTTTCTCTCTGCTTATCTTACTTTCTTTACTACTTGTTATTGCTTCAATATTGTTAGTTTGTTCTTATTTATGCTTAAATATTTGTTCATTTTTATTGTTAAATAATGTTTATTTGAGATTGATTATTATTTTAAGGAAAATGCACAAGTACGCCCTTAACTCATGCCCGAAATCCCATAGACACACTTATACTATATTAAGGTCCTATTACCCCTCTAAACTTATTTTGTAAGTAATTTTCTACCCCTTTTTGGCTTACATGTGAGTTTTAAAATGAAAGTCAACTAACGTTGGACCCACAAGATAGTGCCACGTAGATCGAAAAGGGATAAAAAATTATTAATAAAATAAATCCAGGGGATAATAGGATCTTTGTATAGTATAAGTGTGTCTCTGAGATTTTGTGCATAGGTTGAGGGTTACTTGTGCATTATCCCTTTTTTTTATGTTGTTACTGTTATTGTTATTTGTCTAGTTTTATTATACTCATGATAAATTATTCTTGTTCATTCATCTCTATTGCATTTTTTTAGTTTATGAAAATCATTATATTTTTCAAATATATATACCATTTGGTTCTATTTATAATTGCTCAGAATAAGTTAATAGTTATGCATTTCTCTTTTGCTTAATTTTTTTTGTTGGTTGTTGATTATGTTACTGTTATTAGTGCTGGTTTATGTTGTTATTTTTCATTTCCTTTTCCTCTTTATATTTGTGTTAAGTATTTGTTAAAATGGCCAATGAGAAAATCTCTCCGTCGATTTTGGAGACCTTCACATTGTAAAGGACGGAAATTTAGTTTATGTTTATATTTTTATTTGTCAAAATTGGCCGATGAAGAAATTAACGCCGATTTCCAAGCCTCCTATGTTAATAAGACGAGTTTTTGTTTTTAAGTTATTATTTACTTATTCATTTTTATTTATATTTATTTAGTACTAACTCTTTTACTAACTGTCTTTACAGGTACATCGAGTCGCTTTCAGTCGAAGCTATTCGAATTGTAATTTTATTTATTTGTTGCTTATATTATTAGTGATAGGCAAACTTAGGTCATTTCTTATTATTGTTTTAATTTATTTTTTGTGTATATTGCATGCCTATTATATTTGTTTATAATTTTGTTTCCTCCTCAATTTGAAAAAAAAATGAATTCAGTTGGGACCCAAATTTGTGGGTTTCAAAGGGTGTCTAACACCTTCCCTTCAGAATCACTTGAATCCCTTACCTAGAACTAATGATTTCATAGATCACTTAAATGGTTTCCTAGTTTTTCCAAAAATTAGGTGGCGACTCCTTTACAATTCGTTTATTCTTAAAACTTTTTTAAAATTGAATTAATTAATTATTTTTCAAGTCACCGTGATATTTCGCCCTATTTGAATAGAGGTGGGATGTAAACAATGGCCTTAGAGACAGTCCATTGAGAGTTGATGTTCTTGAAATTCATCTCGATATTCTTTAATGTTTGAAATTTTAGATGAGAGATAGAGACTATCGCACTAGGTGTGTCAAAATTTGTAAATAGTAAAATTTGCTTCGAGAAAACACTTATAAAGAATGAAAAAGTATCGCAACAATCATATTTATTGATTTCAAAGTGCTAGTGTTACAATCTCTATGATTCTTCTGATTTGTCTTTTCATATATAAATTCAAGGTTCTTAAGCTTGATCTTGAATTTGGAACTTGACTTATACTTCAGTCTAAGGGCTTTCGAGCTTGGTCTTGAACTTGAATGCTTAAATTATTGAATGTGTAAATTATGGAGAAATCTATGACATTTGATCCACAAGTTTTATTTGGTTTCTTGTTTAGAATTTTTCTGATCTCTTTTCAAAATTATGAGGACCCCTATTTATAGTTTTAAAACAGATGAGTTGTACTGGTAGAAACAAGTTTTATTTTGGCCAATCAAATTTAAATGACATGACATATGGATTTTACGAAGTGAACTTGTTAGTTTAACACATGACATGATCTATTAAATTCTCTATTTAACTTGGCATGCCGCATCATTTGCCACGTGGCACCAAAATTAGCCTCTAGGATGTGATAACATTGTGCTTAGCAAATTAGGCTCATCTGTTGTAGCTCGATCACTTAATTTAGACTTTAATTACATCTGTATTTATTGAATTTAAATAACCAAGTCAATCATATTAATGCATAATATTTATTTGGACTAATATTTCATAAATTTAATATAATTTGAATTATTTTTAAAATTTATTTTATAAACTTTAAATAAATGCAGTCACGTCATTTGTTTGGGTACGAAATTAAAGAACTTTACAAAAACTTTGCAAATGTTCGACTATCCTTTAAAAATATTTTTAAAAGTACATTTTTATCGACTTTTTACTAAATAAGTGGCACTCAATATTATCAAATATTTATCAAATAAAAATATTTTATTTTTTAATAATAATTAAAAATAAAAATATATTATGTAATTTAAAGGTAAAATGGTTTGGTGGACCATGTACTTATACCCATTTGTATTATGAACCCTTCCATCACCCATTTGTCATATGAACCCTCGAGCTCATTTAAACTCAACCAGTTGAACCTTTCAATTGATCGTAATTCTCAATCACGTAGATGTCACATTTCATGTCAGATAAATTTGGCCACCTCATTTTATTTTTATAATAATTTCTTTTTGGACAAAACATCATAAAGTCTTGATGCAAATTTTACAAAATAAAATTTAATCTATTCTTTTAAATTAATGTTTTGGGTCTCCCTACATGATCATGTGTCATTTCACCGTGAAATGGCCCAATCGTCGGAGAAAGTTGTCGCTACCACTACCCTTCTTGATGGCGAGACCACAAATACTCTCTCCCTCATCTGTCTCCATCTTTGCTAAAAGGTTGAATTCCAAACGATTAGGTTAGGGCAGGGTGGAGTTCAAATTCCAAACGATTAGGTTAGGGCAGGGTGGAGTTCCTCTTTAGCACTGTTCTTTTAGGTGTAGTTCTGTCAAGGCGCCAAGATCAAACTATAAGAACTCTTTACTATCTGTCGAATCTACCTATGCTCATACATCTTACAGGCATTGGAATTCCTGACTTTCAATCCTAACTCTTAGTCGCGCATCCGCTGTGAATGGAAGAAGTTTATGTGGTGTCACGGGTAATTTAAGTGTTAGTCTAGTAACTACAGTTATTGATTCGATTACCAATCCTTTACCTGTAGTTAGAAGACCCTCAAGGCTGACGTTCTTTTTTTTGTTACAATGCTTCTACCCAAAGGTGATTAGTTACCAATGAAGACATGAATCGTCGAACGAGGTGCGGGTCAAATTCGCATCTTTGTTCCCTTTACTTACTTCAAGGGATGGTGTGTCCGGTACATGATTGGTTAATGATGATTCTCAACAGCATCTGTAAAATCTTGAGGCTTACTAGACGCACACTTTCACCATTTTTCTTACTTCCTTCTTCTCCAACCTCCACAAATCCAAAAATCATAAGTCGTAGCACCTGCTACTAGCCCCTCACCACTCTCGTGTTCCTCTTTGTTGTATTCATTTTTTCGTACCATCGACGACTCTTGCGAACCACCAGGGAGCCCCTACGCTCCCCATCCTCTCACAGGCGTATCAGAAGGCTAGAAAATCTTTCGCTACCTCCCCTTTACTCACCTAAAGAAGATGAAAGAAAGAAAATAAAGGGTTGGCTGAAAAAGTAGGTTGTTGGAAAAGAAGAAGGGTTCTTTTTTCTTTTTAACTTTATTATTTTATTCTCTTAATTTAAACATTTTTAAAATTTAAATATGATGTTTACTTGCCCTAATAGGCGTGTGGTCTTAATCTCTTACCAACTCAACCATATTAATGTCACATAAGGATGGTCAATGGTCACAGGGATTTGATATATTATGTTTTATTAAAGTGTAAGGATCCAAACGACAAAGAGGTAAGTAGAAGAATTCACAATATAAACGGGTACAACTACAAGAGTCTATCAAATCATTTGTCTAATTTAAATTGAGATAGAACAAGTGATAAATAGGATAGGATAGAGAAAAGTATGATAAAATTTGATTAAATAGAAAGAACAATAATATATATATATATATATATATATATATATATATATATATATAATTTTAATTTTTGTAGGAGAAAAACTATAATCAAATAAATTAAGAAAGAGAGAGACGAAATTCAATCACACACATATCATTTACTCTGCAACTGGATAGCCTACCAACTCTCTCTCTCACTATATGGACGGCAGGGATAAATAAATATTTTCCAACAAGGATAAAAAAGATAAAACTAACATCAAAATATAAAAAAATAAACAAAATCGAATAGCAAACACACGTGCTCTGTTTTCTCTTCTACATATACCTACTTCTCAACTATGTCCTTTTTTTTAAAAGATTATTAACACCTCCTTTAACCACAAAAGACACTTAAAGCATAACTTGTCTCCTTGTGCTTCATCCTCACTACTCCATCCTTTGTTCCTTAGAAGATGGAGAATATTGGTGAAGAATATAGGTGTCCAATAAGCAGGTTAGGTTGAATTTAGAGAGATTAAATGGATAGAATTAAAAAATTAATTGAGTTATTGACTCGCTCAAATATTTGAATTTAAAAAATCTAAAATGAACTGAATTAAAAATTTAATTGAGTGATAACCCACTCAAATTTATTTTGGCTAAGATGAGTTAGTTCAAATGGACTAAAAATCAAGTTGCATTAACCCTCATAGTCTCAAGAATTTTAATATGTTGTTATTTACTTTTTGTAATCACAATTCAACTTCTAATTGAAGAAAATTTTACAAAAAATAAGTTTTTAATTTTGAAGAGAAAAGTCAGCCAAAATTATACCAATCAAATAATAATATATTCAAGATGATTCACTTAACAAGTATTTTATGAACAAAAAAACATTGTTTATTTCTTTCGGTTATTTTGATCATAGAAAAGTAAAATTTTAATTATAAATAAAAAGAACAGATAGATAAATCTTAGAAGATATGAAGTAAATAATAATTCATACATATAATATGGGAACATATATTGCATCAATATAATAAAGAGTTTTAAAACGGATTAATATGGTTAAAATGAGCGCAATTGAAGATCCTTTTAGAATCATTTGTTGAGATTGAACCAATTCAAATTATCTCAAGTCTAACTTATTAAATTCTGCATAAATTGATCAAATTACCTATATTAGAGTTCATTTTGACAGTCTTAATGAAGAGTATAATAATTAGGAAAAACTACCTTGTTAGACAAATATTTCTACCATGTTTACTAATTATACTTATAGTTTGAAATAATTTATTATTTCACTAATTAATAGCTTCAATACAAATTTCATGTCAGATACATAAATTTTTGTTATCAGTTACACTAAAAATAGAAAGAGAGACGAGTGAGATAGGAGGAAGGCGAATAAACTACTTTATCTCTATGTATCTCAAATACATGTGAATCACACTAGATACATGAATCTGGAATACTAAATATAAGGAGAGAAGAGAGTGACGAGCAAGAGAGTTAGATACATTTAAATTCACTTAAATATAATGTATCTAGAAAAGTTACATTTAATTTTAACCTTATCTATTCGAGATACATATATCTAGACGTATTTAGACGCGTAAGATGCATATATATAAAGTCTAAAATCTGGTAAAATTCATTATAACACAAAATAGTATGAATTTCAAAATTTAAGTACTGGTGAAGTAGTGAAATTTTTGTAAGTTGCCTAAATAATTATTGGAAAACAACCAAGTTCTTACAATCGGAAGAACTGGATAGGTAAACTTTAATTGATGCTCTCTTTTGATTAGTATTTTTCTTTCTAGTTGGATGCGCAAATTGTTCGTTTTCTTTTTCCAATTATTGTTGTTTTTCTCTTGGAGCAAGAGCACCAAGAAATGGACAAAATTCTGTCTTTGAAGTGACAGTAAATAGGAAAAACAAAACTTTGTTGATATAAGAAAGATTTTATGTATTGACAATCTAACTTGATGTAATATGTCAATTACGCTTTTTTGTAGGTTATCTATTTTTATTTGACATAGATAAATATATAATTAATTTTTAAATGATCTTATAGTATGGACTAATAGTTTACAGTACATTCATTAAATATTTGAGAAAGAAAAATTGTCAGTACTAGCTAGTTGGTGGTTTTGATTCAAGAAGATGGTAAGGGATCTTTCGATACACGAATCAAATGATTATAGAATTAATATATTTTATTTTGGATATCTATTTAAGTAAAACGATGTTTGTGCAAATTAAATAAAAAAGATCTCGTAGAAATGTGATACCCACGCTCCTAAGGTTCAAGTAAAAAAAAAAAAAAGTAAACCAAGCGTAGCATAATTAAATATTTAGTAGATATTTAAGACACGTGCTATAAAATCACGATACGAAATCATGTTATGAAATCGACGTTTTGACATATAATTTCATGCTGACGTCGTCTCATGATTTCATATCATGAGATGAATTATATTCTTGGAAAATCATAATTTGATATTTTTAAATACAAAAATTAACTCATTAATTTATATTTTTGTAAAAACAACCCATATATATATATATATATATATATATATATATATATATATATATATATATATATATATCATTTATTTCACCGTAGATAAAATTTATAAATCATACAATTACTTTTTAAATTGTTTATATCTCATATAATAATCATTCTCGCTAACATAGAGTTTATTACTTCAAAGCAATTTCTAATTTATCATTTAATTTCACCGTGTGTGTGTGTATATATATATATATATACACACACACACACCAATTGACCAACAAATGGCTCAAGCTAACAATGTTGGTTCATTTTCTCAATCATATGAATGAGAAATACAAGTTTAACTTGAGAAGATTGTATGTATTATATTGGAAGATTATATTAAAGAATTGTACACTAAAACACATGTTAATGTTATTTTTTTTATTGAATTAAAACTTGGCCAATAAATATTGTATTTTCTAAAAATATTTTGTGATATTTAGTGTATTTTATTATGTGATTTTTATAAATTTGGTAAGATTGTCTAAAGAATTGAGATAATTTTTTAACAGTTTTACAATTTATGAGTTTTTTTTATGTTTAAGAGAAAATATACAAGATAAAAAATTTCAATTCATATGTCCAAATAAAATTTTAAGTTCATCTCATGATTTCAAGTTATAATTTTATATATTGCATGGACAAACGGACCTAAACTATAATTCCTTTAATTTTAATTTCTTTCAAAGAAAATTTATTATCTGACCGATAATAGATATATACACAATATAAAATTATGAATTACCCCTTTCTAAAAGGGCTTGTCAAAAGACTAGCATTTGAACATTTAAATCATTTTATTTCTTTTAATAGATTTGATAAATTATTTAATTGCACGGTCGAGACAATAAGTGGATTAGTTTTCCAAACAAACTTATAATATGAACTGTATTGATGATTAGGCCAAAAATGATATATGAATTAATATTCTATTAAACTAAATAAATACATGGTCGAATATTTCTCTGAAGGATGTGGGGCATTTGATAATTTGAGGCCCCATTAAGAAAGTAATATATTTATTATTGGTCCACTTGATAAAAATAAAAGTTTAATTATGTGCTTCAGATTATTTGACAGTTAGTTAGATTTATAAGTATTAGCAATGTAAAATTAGTAATAAGTGAATTTGATAATTTGAGGCCCCATTAAGAAAGTAATATATTTATTATTGGTCCACTTAATAAAAATAAAAGTTTAATTATGAGCTTCAGATTATTTGACAGTTAGTTAGATTTATAAGTATTAGCAATGTAAAATTAGTAATAAGTGAATTTAAGTATTAGTTTATGCAATGGTTAATTATTCTATATTAGTTCAACAATCTATTCTCTAAAAAATAATTCATATATATATATATTAATTCTATAAATTTTTAGATTATCAATGAAATATTATATTAATTTCATTTATAAATATCTTATTCCTAGTTTTCTTATTAAATATCATATAAGTTATAAAAAAAATTATTATATAGGAAAAGTTGTGCCTTGACCAGCTAACAATGCACCTCGTAATACATTAATATGGGATAAGGTGGCATTATTTTATTGTCAATGATTGGCAGTAAAACCCACACTCTACTTTTTTTGGATTTAGAATATCTTCAAACTCACCTCTATTTTACTCGTTATTTTTTTATATTTTGAGAGTAAAATAAAGAATAAATATTCTAATTTATTTTAATATCACTTTCTATTCTTTAATTATAGAGAGGTGAATAATAATTATTCAAATAAAAGAATTATTTTTTATTTTATTTTTTAATTATTTTATTATTATTTTTACTCTTACTTTCTAATTAACATATTATTATATAATGTCACTAATTAAATATCTAATATTAATATTTCTTTTTAAATGTAATATAATATTTTAAAAAAATATTTTCATCAATGATATAATTTATTTTTTTTATTAATTTTCATTATAAAGAATAAACACAATTAAAATGATAAGATGAAAATTTTAATTTAAAAATAAAATACATAATATGATAATTTAAATACAACATTTTAATACAATACAGAACATTATAATTTAAATACAAAATAAAATACAATATATAACATAATAATGAATTCAGAATGAAACAAGAATCATGCCGAAAAGATGTTGAACGTGCATTCGGAGTTTTACAATCACATTTTGCAATTATTATAAAACTGTCATGTTTTTAGGAAATGAATTGCTACATGAACAATAACTACACGTATTATATTACACAACATGATAATTGAGGGTGAACATGATCTTAATGCACCAATTTAAGATGTCGTAGAGGTTTCAACTCCAACGACGGAAGTGGCGGTAGATGAAAATCTCCGATTTGAACAACTTTTAGCTATACATAAAAAAAAATTAGGAACGATAATGCCCATTTTGAACTCCGTATGCATTTATAGAAGCAACATAATAGTTTCAAAAATTGAGTGCTTATGTAATTGTATTTCAATCTTATTAGAATTTGTCTATTAATTTGTATATTATGGCATATTTTCTTGAAATTTATGTTATTTAAAAATTTAGAATAAAATATTATTTTATATTAAATAAAAAATTTGAAAAAATAAAATGTTATATCACATGAAAATTATATAACGTAATTATTGGGAAAAGAAATAAGGAATTTATATTATGAAATAAGAAAATAAGAATGAAATAAAAATAATAATATAATATTAAGGAGAATTTTTTTTAAAAAAAATTAAAATAGAGAATTTAGTTGGAATTGATTCTCCGAAGAAATATAAAACGCTATATTTGAAGAGTAAAATAGAGGATCGGGTCGGAGATACCTTACTATCCTTTAGTCAGTACTCCCTTTGCCTCAGTCTCTTTTTAATTGTTTAATTTTGATTCTTTTATTTATTTGTTTTTTGATAAATAAAAAATTAATATTTTTAATTATTATATTTTAAATATCTTTAGAGAGAATACTTTTTTAAAACATAGAATTTAATAAATAAATAAATTTGTTTTGAAATTTTATCAATTGACATAGATAAAATGATAAACTAATTGATTTATTTTTCTAGTAGGTATATTAAATAAAAAATAAACAAATAAACAGAAACTAAGGAAGTAGGTTTTTCTTAAAAATATGTATTATGCTCACATAATAAACGTGAATATGTAAAATTCCTTCTAGCATGATGAAAATTACACAATTGAAAAATATATATTTTTTTATTTTGGCATGAAAAATAAAATAGTTAAATATCAAATAAGTTAAAATAGAGTAACAAAATTCAATGAGACACATATCATCAACTATGCGGCCTACCACACTCTATGTGGACGGCAGGGATAAATAAGTGCTTTCCAAGAAAAATATATAACAAAAAATATTAAAATAATAAAATCAAAATATAAAAAAAATAATTAAAAAAAAAATTGCATATGCACGTGCTCAATTTTCTCCTCTATATATACAACTCACCCTTCTTCTGAACTATGTTCATTTTTTAAAGCTCTACACCCACTTTAACCACAAAAAAGGTATTTAAAGCATAACTTGTCTTGTTCTGCTTCATCTTCACTCCATCTCAATGGACAACATTGGTGATGAATATAAAAATTATTGGGAAACAACTATGTTTTTACAATCAGAAGAGCTCGATAGGTAAACTTTGAATTGAAGCTCGATCGAGCTCTATTTTTTTTTTTTGTGTGTGTGTTTTCTACAATTAATTTTTGCTTGAATGAATGTAGCTATTTCGATGAGCCAATTTCATCGTATTATGATTCAAGTTCACCGGATGGGTCACAATCATCGATGGCATCGAAGAACATTGTATCAGAGAGGAATAGGAGGAAGAAATTGAATGAAAGGTTATTTGCACTTAGAGCTGTGGTCCCAAACATAAGCAAGGTGGGGAGACTAATTGAAAACACACACACAGTAGTTTATAGATTATTTGTTTTTTATTTAGTTAATTAGGGGTGTTTGACCTTTTTTTTTTGGGTATCCAGATGGATAAAGCTTCAATAATCAAAGATGCAATTGATTATATTGAAGAATTACATAATCAAGAGAGAAGAATTCGAGGAGAAATTTCAGAGCTTGAATCTGGAAGATCATCGTCAAAGAAGAATAGTAACGATGTTGAATTTGAACAAGATGAAAGTTTCGATTCAAAGCCTAAAAGATCGAGAAGATTTGAGATGCAATATGGATATGATTCTTCAGGATCAACTACTAGATCACCACCATCTTCTTCCCCTGTTGATGTTCTTGAGGTAATTAATTGATTAATAATGTTTTTTTTAGTCCATTCTTAAAAAAAAAAATTAAATTGCAGTTGAGGGTATCTTCAATGGGAGAAAAGACAGTTGTGGTGAGTCTTACTTGCAGCAAAAGAACAGACACAATGGTTAAAGTTTGTGAAGTGTTTGAATCTTTGAATATCAAAATAATTAGTGCAAATATCACTGCTTTCTCTGGGAGGCTTCTCAAGACAGCTTTCATTGAGGTAAGCACTATCTTTTTCTTTTCTCTTGCCTTTTCCAATTATGGAGGATAATATTCTTGTTTTTTTAAAAAAAAATAAAATAAATCATTTTAGTTTATTAAATTTGTTAGAAGGAAATTTACTTATTTAAGAAATAAGAAAATTGACTTTCCGAAATAGAAAAAATTAGTTTCATAAGTAATATTTAATTTTGATTTGTGGTTCAAACACATTTTATTTTCACCCCTATCCATTGTCTCATCCTTGTCACCCGACACCCGGCACCTATATCTGAGTTCGTTCGCCTATATTATTCATCTAGATTATAGTTCAGAATTATGTTTTTTTCCTATTATTTATATGTCTAATACTAAATATATATATATAAGAAATTACTTAAATTCCTAGTAATATAGTAATGATTTCGCCTTTGATTAGAACACCCAGAAAAATCAAGACTATCATTTTTTTTTTTTTATATATATTTTGCTTGGAGTTGATTTGGTTATAGATCTATTTGTCTTGTATTTTTTTGATTCCAATAATAATACCTAAAAAAATTAAAACAAATATATCAATTATTCTTTTATACTTTACTTGAAGTAGGTGAAATTATAGATCCCTGTGTCTTTTCATTGGATTCGTCCATATCTCTTCTATTAGGGAGTGATTGCTTCTAAAATTTATACTGAGTAATTTCTTCAAGCATCCAAAAGCCAATATTTACATGTGCATCCATGTCATATAAATTGAGGTTTAACATGCTAAAATGTTGAATATAAAATAAATAATAACATATATTATATTTCCATTGTGTAACCTTAAAATTGATGTTTTGAGGTGATAGTAAATAATATTTGGTTGATTTTAGAACGATTTTCTATATAGACGATTTAACTTGATGTGATATGTCACTTGCACCTTTTGTAAGTTGTTTTTTAATTTGTTTTGATATAGACAAATTTATAATTCATTTTCAAATGATAGATATTTATTTTTATTTAATTTGACATAGACAACTTAACGATGAAATATACTTACTTACCAATGGTTTTTAACATATTAAAGTTACTCTCAAGAAGGCCTTTAAAATTGCATAGACCTTCTTAATTCGAAAAATTAAAAAAAAGGAAAAAGATCACAACAAACATCTCATGAAATCTTAATAGATCAGTTAATCGATTACCTAAACTTTCATTTAGTGATTGCAGGTTCGATTTCCCATCGTGCAATCACTAGATCTCTTGTTCTCCTTACCCTAAAATTTATTTTAACTTTTTAAAAATAAAAAATGTTGTTTGTGCAGAAGACAAAATATTTTGTGGAACGTGATATCCACGCTCCCAAGGCTCAAGTGAACCAAATGTAGCATAAATCTTTTTTTTCCTGAAATCATGATTGGCCATAGGTCATACACAATATAAAAATCAAGAAATTCCCATTTTAAAAAGGAATTAACAAAAGATAAGCACTTAAATATTTTTAAATTATGTTATTCTAATATATTTGATAAATTATTTAATTGAATGGTTGAGACAATACGTAGATCAATTTTTCAAGCAAACTTATAATAATAATTAGGCCAAAAATAATCCACGAGTCAATATTTTGAAAGCTATACATAGTCCAATATTTTTGTCAAGGACGTGGGCCCATTTTATAATTTATGTTCCTATTAAGAAAACAATATTTATTGGCCCACTTGATAAATAAAAATAAAGTTAGATTAGTGCAGTACATTATTATAGGGTAAGGTAGCATTATTATATTGTCAATGATTAGCAGTAAAATCCAGACTGTCCTCACAGTAATAAACGTGTGTATGTCAAAATTCTTTTTAAATTGCATATTGAAAATTACAGAATCATAATTATTTAACGTCAACAGTTCTAATTATTGGAGAACGATCTTTTTTTTTAAAAAAAAAACACTCTTTGATCATTTGATGTTAACATGCATATATTTATTCTATTTTTATAATTATTTTGATCACCTTTGGCTATAGGACATAACGATCTTTCAAGTCTATAATTATAATATACAATACTTCATCTATTGTTATTTATTTTTAAAGTGACACATATTTTTAAATTTTATTATCGATTTAATATATATCTAATATATAAAGTAACTTTGATTTCTCTTTTTTAGGCTGATGAAGAAGAGAGGGATCTTTTGAAGTTGAGGATTGAAACAGCTATAGCTTCTCTAAACGATCCCGATAGCCCGATGAGTTCTTAGAACAACGATATCTTGGATTTTAACTATGTTTCGCCTTCATGTAATGAGCATGTAGTTATTTGAAGAGTGTTTTTTTCCGCGTTATTTCTACCTCATTCTTCTTCTTAAAATTTGGTCATCTTTGACTGGTTATTTATGTAGTTTGTAGTTGGTGTTTTTCACAAGAAATCTAAGTCAATGAAAGTCTACTTTCATATCCTTTTGTAATATCTTGTCTAAATTTTCGTAAGTTTTCAAACACACCATGCATGCCTCATTTATGTTTGATTTAGAATAACAATTGAATTTTTTATTAGAGAATCAATCACACGTGGATTATTAAAGAGAATGATCAAGTGATCGATGTGTAAATATTACTAAATTTCAAAGCAATAATGTGGTGCGAAAGGGGAGTAGTAATATGTCATATAAAATTAAGACAAAGGAAACATTATCATAAAATATTTCTTGATGTAGTTAATTTTTGACAATGTCATGAAAAAATGATAATTTGAGAACCTTTTTGTTAAAATATATGATAAATATATCCTTACTCATTATATATACAATCTTTGTTAAGTGAATATTAAGTTAACAAAGATGATATATACAATGATTCAAAATATATTCACCATATATTTTAGTAAAAATTTAAGGAATCCTATAGTGTAATTCAATAATTACATTCTGTTCCGACAAATTTAGTATTTACAAAAAATCCCTTAAATTTGTAGTTCCGTGATACTTTAGACTGTAGTGATACATGGTAAATGATACATGGTAAGTTTAAACTGTTGAGAAAAAAATGGGGAAAAAATGGTACAATTAATGTTGTTACTAAAACAACTTAATTTTAAGGTAACAGATCATTAATCACCATAAAATCAGCACGTAATTGGATATTGATTTCAAATTTTGAAAATCAAAATTATATCATCTATTTTGAAAACATTTTTTATGAACAATCATGGCGGAAAGAAATTTAGTCGTCAGTGGAAACACAGATGTGGGTCCTCAATTGCAAGCTTCTTAAGCAAGGTTAGTCCCAAAAAAAATCAGTTGTACAACTCGACAGTGAAACATTATTCGAAATTTAATTTTGCTCTACGAAATCTCAATTTTTTTTCTGTAAGGTACGACCCTAGACAACCCAGCAGCAGGCAGCCAGCCTCCTGTTACTGTAAATTTTTTGCTTTGTAGATGGCGCACATCAATTTTTGTTTTCTTATGTGTGTTGGTCTACCCAGAATACAAGTATTTGTCATAGTAAGCCATAAGTTGAGGAAAAGGTTTGAACTAATTGAAAGAGCAAAAAGAAGAGGAGAATATATATAAATGCATATTTACTCGTTAGTTTCTGCTCTTGTTGTATTGTATTACTTTTTCATAATCTGGGAAACTGCTACTGCAATTAAAAACAAAAAGTAACAAAACTCAAAAAAAACATAATTATTTTTTACTCATTCTCCTCTTGTCATTGGATCTCTCCTATTCCTAAGTCCTAACTACATAAAATAAAAGAATCTTGGAAACAAAAATCATTGTCATCTCCCCACTTGGCGTTACTCATTTGGTCTTTACTTCATCCTGTAAATACATTGACAAACGACAACGTACATGTATCAGTGAATCAACTAAAACATTATAACATGTGATACATATCTAATACATGTATCAGAAACATCGACTAAACAATATACACACTGATTCTATATGTATCATCAAGTACAATGGATGACGCATTTATTAAACTTATTGAATGATACATTATAACAATTTTCAAAACATGTATCAGTACATCAACTAAACAACTAATACCTTACTGATACATGATATCAGTTTTCATAAATTCATA